GTGGTGGAGGCGCGTTGGGGGTTTTCTGTGGGGTGGGGGGGGGGGAGCGGGGGGGGGAGTTAGCTTTGGGAATCAGGATGTCCTGAATTGTAACAGTAAGTAAAAAATTTACTAAGGCTAGGTGATGGAAGCATTTCAAGGTACCGAGGAAAATTTGATAGGTTCACAACTTAAGCTGTAGCCAATTTCTTACCAATAGTAGAATTTTTCAGGACCTCAAGAGAAGGGATGAACCTTATCTGATGGGTTTGCACAGAAACAAAGAGCATAGTCTAAGCAACATTCTGACCTGGTCCTTAATTAAAGAGCTTGAAATCTTTTTTTTCTGTAAGTTACCGAAGTTGCAAATTGTAGTATGAATTTTATATTGCGCAATTACTTAAAAAATACCTAAGACCTACAACAATGAAAAAAATGTCTTTTCTTTCAGAATTAGTCACTGTGAATTTTTATGGGAATAATATTGAGGAGGTGATTAATCATGTACCATTAATTGCCTGTGGGGCAGGGAAATACATATGCTATTAAACAGGCAAGGAAAAGTTAGCAGATTTCTTTGCAAGGACACAGTCAAACAAGAGCCACCACATCAAGTCTGTGTTCTATATGTACACAGAGTTCCTTTGCAGTAATGGTGTGGGGGGGGGGGTTATGTAGATATTTTAAAGAAAATACATAACAGTATCGCAAAGCTTTAAGTAGCATCAAATCACATGCTTAGATTGCAGTATCTTTCCCAGATTAAAATGGGGGAAATGTGAGTATCCATTGCAGTAATCAGAAAATCGATGGAACACTTGACTTGCTACTTGGTAGACTGTCCTTCAGTATTCTGTACTTAACCATATGTGTGTATAATCAATACTTGAGAATCTGGCAGGTGCTTTGAGAATGTCATTTCCTTTTACTGATGTTGCATCTCTGATCTGATGTGTTTTGAGCTAATGTGATCCAAGCTGTGATGGTGGTAGTTCATTTTATGGTGTCTGGACTCTTGTTCTAAGGCAGTGAGCACAAGCCAAATGCATCTGAACCTAGTGGCAGGAGGATTGGGCTGTCACTATCAGAAGGTCAGAAACTACTGTTTTACAGAATTACTGTTGTCCTGATGGTTTTGAACCACAAATATTACCCTTTGGAGTGATTTATCAGGAAATTTCCAGTGAAATGAAATCATAGAAAAATAACCAAAATATTTCTCTCTCACTGTTGCTGACTAAATGCTAAATTGAGTATTCGCCCCATGTATTTTTGATGTGCATAAATATTGCATTTGACTATTTACAGTGGTGTAGATTATGGGACAGATACATTTTCACAATATTAAATTCACTGGTAACATACATTCTTACTTACACCAAGATTCTGTCTTTGACATATCTTTCGTAAACAGGTCCAAAATGGTCTTACCACTCAAATATTGCAAGCACTACTGTGTATCATGCAGAATTTACAGTAGTGTTGTTCTTGTAATTTCGTGTTTTTATCCAGACAAACTGGTCTTAACATTAAAATTTATTAAGAAAAAGCCTTTGTGCTGTTTCTTATTACTGTTTTTTTCACAAGTCATGACAGAAAAAACTGAATCGGGTCAGTCGTGTAATGTGAACTGTAGCTATTTTAATGTAGCTCACATTATCTGTGTTCACTCTTTGTTGTGGAGAACCGGTTTCAAATCAAACTGGTGTGCTTGCTTTTGCACTGCTTTACAGATCCCAGGTGGAGTGAAGTTTGTTTCTGAAACTGTCCATTATGAACTTTCAAAAAATCTCATCTCCTTATCTCCTTATTTTCATATATGTTTTGGGAAAGAAGATGGAGGTTGTATAGAACAAGAATTAAATAACACTACTTTTTCATTGTTTTAATAATTTGCTTTACTGTGCTGTGTGTACTCCTCTGGCATAGAAACTTGATGGTAAGCATGTAAGTTAACTGGCTCTTACTAAGACAGCTGATGAGCTCTGTACTGGTGGCTTCCATCTGTGTTAGACTACTACAGCATGAAGTCTTATTCTCTGTGAGTATGTGCTTTCGCCACAATTTGTGTTGACCTTGGGTCTTGAGTGGAGGGGTTGGAGATGCGTACTGGCTTAATTATATCCCCTTTGTGGTGTGGAGAATCTAATGCTGCTGTTAGTAGTTCTACAGGCCTTCATCCAAGAACTGTGAGATGGCTCTGTAGCTATCTTTTGCATACTGAAAGAGGTTAATTACAGCATGGCTTTGTTTTTACACAGATTATTTTATATTGATTAAAAATGGTTAAAACTCTGCATCCTTTCTCTTGATTCCCCCTTTTCCACTGAGTAAAGCCTAAGTTACTTGTTTTCATTTCTGAAGGCCCTCTGGAACCTGTAACTATCTTCTGTCAGTAACTTCCTCAGTAAGATGCCAGCTCCAACACCAATGACAGTATTCAATTCACTTTTCAGCTGAGCACATTAATTCTTTCCTTGCTTTCCCCTAAGCTTGAGCAAAGGTTTTAATAAAAATCTGCTCAGCAGCTCTACTGTTCTTCAGAGAACTCTGTAAAAAGCCCTTTACCTTACAAAGCATGAATGAATGGTTTGTTGATTCCACTGCCTGGCATGCTGATCAGTGTCATTTTGTTTCCTCATACTCCATTGTCTGTCCGTTCGTTTATATCTAGATTGGAAATCCTTTGAAGCAGGGTCAATGTTCTCATTCTTCTTGCCTTGTGAATGGGCACTGTACAGGTGGAGCAACGAGTGGGATTCTTAGCAGAAATGGTAATACAGATAATAAAAACATTAAATGGGGAACTGAGTCTTGGTAGCGTAATGAAGTTCAGGATGCAAAAAAAGGAGGCTGTCTTCTGAAAAAGGTAAGGAAACAACTTTTATAAAGGATTAATGGTAAGTTAGAGCTCTCTTACTCTGATATTTCAGTTCTTAATTAGGTTAAATGGAACTAAAGAATTGCAGTTATCTGCAATTTTATTAAGTCTATGATTATTCCAGACAAGCTATGCTTCTGGCTTTAAGTTCTTCATTTAGAAGTCACCATAGATTGAGAAATGATATGCTGAAATCAAAGTTACTCAATAATGGAAATTTTTAGAAGATGGTATTTCCAAAGGTCAAAAACTGTTCCAAAATAAACCCAATGTTTTGAATTCAGTATAATGCTGAGGGATGGAGCAACAGCGAGATTATTCACAACTCTGCACGTCACTTTTGCTGCTTATGTGCTTACTTGCTGTTACCTCTTGTTGAGTAGTGGCCAGTGCCAAAGCTGCGCTGGCACTTTTCCCCCCCACCCTCCCATATAAGGAGAAATCAAACATATCTGGAGTTGTCTTACATCGGGTTACAGGGGGGAAGCACTTAACCTTACTTGTCTGATTTATGTTAAATCACTTGGCTTTCAAGGACTGTTTCTATTCCTGGAAAATTACACTAGTTTTACTGCGGGAGAACAGACTTCCTTGTTGCTTACAAAAATAAAGAACACTGCAAAGCTCATTTATTTATTTATATTGAATCAAATTTATGTATTGGAACCTAAATAGTGAATATCTGCGTTGGTGTGCCGTGTTTAGCAGATGCAAATTGCGTAAATGGCCTGGAGAAGTTCGGTAAGGAATGTGCTGAATCTAAAAATACTGCTGCATTAGAATGGAGTATACATGGGGTATTTTGGCTGGTTGTGACCAGGAGCCATGGAAGCGGGAAGCAGCGGCAGAATTTTGAAGCTGAAATCAGGCAATGCTGCCATAAAGCAACACTTAGGTCCATGGATATACTTCTAAATGCTTTTTATGTAACAGAGTAATCGGCAAAATGTGTGGGGAGAAGTACTGAATGCCTGGGAAGAATCTGAGTTACTACTTTCACTGAAGCTACTCTTGTGTATTCACTGTGTTTTCATGGAGTTTGATCAGCTTTTTGTTAACATAAATTGTTTGGGCCTTACTACCTTTATAACTTTGGGCCAAGATTCTCAACATGATCCATCACTGTGCCTTTCTGTCATCTCTTTTTCTTCCTTGTTGAAGGATTGTTGACCTAACAGCCACATGGCTTACCTGTGTAATCATGAGTTTCCTTAAACAACCTTGCATTAACCTGCATATAATTAGCAACTGTTGTCACACCGCCAACCCTCGAAACTGAAGCTGAAGCCTCCCTCCGTCACCTCTTGATCTTAATTTTACTCACCAACTATCTCAGAGGTTATTCCACTCTTTATTATTTGTTATGCTGTCTTAGTATTCTTTTTATATCCATGAATTACAGTAATCTTTAAGCAGATGTTTTAGTGTAATTACTTGTGAAAAGCATGCTACTTCTAGCTCAAAATATTAGTTCCCTGAAGTATAAATGAATTCTTAAAACGGACTCGATATCCCAATGTGCCAAACTTGAAACGACATGAGTAATTACAGACATACTTTGCGTACTGTTAACACAGGAGTACGAGTAGGAAACATCCAGTACATCTGGTTCTCCTTATAAATCAGGAGACTGCACAGTAAGGATGATCGTAACTCATGTAACTGCAGGTTTTGTCACCCCATCCCCTCCGTCCCATCCCATGTCCCCCTGACAGTTAACTGCATGATGATCTCTGGCACTTGGGGTCAAAGGAGAGAGGAGAGCAGTGCCCACGCTCTTCTTTCTGCAAAGAGCAAGCAGCGCATCCCCAGAGGTTTTTTGATGCAGTATGTCTAATTTTTGTTACACGTAAGCATTTATACAAAGATTAATTTAGTCACGCCTTTATAGATTAAGGATGTTCTGGAGCAGTATGCAATTAACTGGTCTCCTACGTTCCAGTTATTTTTCACTCTTACATGAAAGTTTTAGCCTTTTGCTTTTTCTACCAGTTTGTAATTCATATAAAATAACATGTTTTAAGAATAAACAGTTTTTC